TTATAAAGATTCCATCACTCATTTGTTTGATTTGCAACCCCAAGAAAAATGTAAGCTCTCCCATCATTGACATCTCAAATTCACCTTGCATGGTCTTAGCAAATTCTTTGCATAGAGAGGCATTAGTAGATCCAAAAACAATGTCATCCACATAGATTTGAACATACATTGTATCATTTTTAAACTTCTTTACAAACAATGTATTATCTACTTTACCTCTAACATAGTCATTCTCAATCAAAAATTTGCTCAACCTGTCATACCATGATCTTGGAGCTTGTTTCAAGCCATAGAGTGCCTTTTTAAGTTTGTACACATGATTAGGATACTTAAAATCAACGAAACTTGGTGGTTGCTCCACATACACTTCTTGTATTAAACCATTTAGAAAAACACTTTTCACATCCATTTGGTAAAGCTTGAAATTCATTATTGAAGCATAAACAAGAACTAATCTAATTGCTTCTATCCTTGCTACAGGGGCAAAAGTCTCATCATAATCAATTCCCTCTTCTTGATTATACCCTTTAGCCACTAACCTTGCCTTATTTCTTATAATGATTCCAGATTCATCAAGCTTATTACTAAAAACCCATTTAGTTCAATAATTAGATAATCACTTGGTAATAGAACTAAATCCCAAACTTCATTTCTTTCAAATTGATTTAGTTCCTCTTGCATAGCCATTAACCAATGTTCATCATGTAGTGCTTCATCTATTGTCTTAGGTTCAACTTGTGAAACAAAAGCCATAGTGTTACAAATATTCTTGATGGATCTTCTAGTTGACACTCCTTTACCAATGTTTTCCAATTATATTTTCCATTGATAAGTCCTTAGAATTTTTCCATTCCTTAGGCAATTGTTTACTTATCTTTTTAGTGGTTTCAATTGATTCACTCTCTTTAGGCATTTCATTTGGTTCACTTTCTAATGGTGGTTAATCAAGAAAATCAGTCAAGTCCTTTATTTCAGTTTGCTTTGTTTCTTGCTTGTTAGTCTCATCAAACACAACATGTACGGATTCTTCAACTATTAGAGTTCTCTTGTTATATACTCTATAGGCTTTGCTATTTTTAGAATAACCCAAGAAAATTGCTTCATCAATTTTAGCATCAAATTTACCAAGTTGTTCCTTACCATTATTCAACACAAAACATTTACACCCAAATACTCTAAAGTATGAGACATTAGGCTTCCTTCCATTATAAATCTCATAGGGTGTTCTTTTTAGAATAGGCCTAATTAGAACCTTATTTAACAGATGACATGCTGTGTTAATTGCATCAGCACAAAATTATTTAGGTAGTTTAGTCTCATTTAACATAGTCCTAGCTAATTCCTCAAGAGATCTATTTTTCCTTTCCACGACCCCATTTTGTTGAGGTGTCCTAGGTGCTAAAAAATTATGATTAATGCCATGCTCTTCACAGAATTTTTGGAACAAAACATTTTGGAATTCACCTTCATCTTCTAATTAAGGTGACATTTATGTTTTTCTCATTTTGAACAAGCTTAGCAAATTTCTTAAAAGCATTGAAAGCTTCACTTTAATTTGCAAGAAACATAACCCAAGTGAATCTTGAATAGTCATCTACCATAACCAGCCCATCAACAAGCAATACATTTTCAATTAATGCTGAGGAGGAAGAGTTACCAATATTTCCATGACCAAGAATCTTCCCTTTGTTGTTGTCACCATATGTAACAAATCCTTCATTCTTTAATTTCAGACTTAAGAATTTTGAAGGATCTCCAGTCATATGCCTTGAGCAGCCACTATCAAGATACCATAATAAGCTTTTGGCTCTCAAGCATTCTATTGTGTCTTGATTAGCTCCAGCCATCAAACATAAGTTGTTTTCCTCAAATTCAGATTCATCACTTGCTGTGCTTGAGTCATTGTCTTCCCAAGCTATGTAGGCTCTTTTTCCTTTGTTGTTTTTCTTCCCTTTCTTTTCTTCTTGTTGCTTCTTTAGAAGGTTTGGACATTCAGCTTTTATGTGGCCTTGCTTTCTAGATTCAAAACAATTGTAAGAGGATGTGCTTCATTTTTCTTTCTTGTTGGCCTTCTTGTTGAACTTGTAGGGGGAACTCCTATTCTTTCTTAGGAATTTTCTGAACTTCTTCACTAGCAAGTTGAAGTTCTCTGAATCAGAATCTTTGGAGCTTAAGTCTTCACATATTTCTTTGCTTTTGACTGATTTCCAAGCTCTTAGAGACACTCCTTTTCCCTTTTTTTCTTGCTGATCATTTTCCTAAAAAATGTACAGCTTTTGCTCATGCTCTCTTAGCTTTCCAAAGAGAGTTGAAAGGGTCAATGAGGTCAAGTCCTTTGATTCTTCTATTGCAGTAACCTTTGCTTGCCAAGATCTATCCAAGCATTGTAGAACTTTTAAATTTAGTTCTTCCTCTTCAAATTTCCTTCCAAGATCAACAAGGTGACTTATCAAGTGTGTAAACCTTTTTTGAAAATCAGAAATTGATTCACCATGATTCATTCTAAAAAATTCATATTCTCTTATAAGAGTATGCTTTCTAGATCTTTTTACATCACTTGTTCCTTCATGAGTAACTTGTAATGTGTCCCACATTTCTTTAGCTGACTTGCATTGAGAAATTCTAAAAAAAACTCATCAATAGACAATGCAGATGTAATAATAATCTTTGCTTTATAGTCATATTGAGCTCTCTTTCTCTCATCATCACTACACTCACTCCAATGTTTTTCTCTCTTTCCTTCACCATCATTGGTCATAGGGATATAGGGTCCATTTTCAAATGTAAAGCAGCCTTAACTTAACTAGTCAAAAGCAATCAAGGATTGCTGCTAATCAGATGGTGCTATAATCAGATGTCGGAATAGCAGCTGTTCTTTTATTGCAGCTAATTACAAATCTTAATCAGTCTTGTCTGTACACCAATCCCAATGGCTAATTCGGCTCTTAAGCCTGGAACTCAATCAAAAAGAAATTCTCTTTTGTCGAAAAGACCTCTCCCCCGACCAATCTTTACATTAGTGGGCGGACGCCGCCCCAATCCTAAAACAGGAACGAATCTTTCAATTGCAGTCGACCACAAGATAAAGAAAGCGATTTTCCCTTAATAAGTCATCAAATTTGGTGCTTTTTATCCCCATGGGGAACAAAGGAGGAAATACAATCGATTCCTCTTCTCGCTTCTCCTTGTTCCTGAAAAATGCATATATATAAAGTGATACGCTTTAGTATTGGGTTGCTCTCCCTTTTATGTATAATTCAACAAAGTTTTGAGTGATTATTTATTATTTATTTACAAAATATTATAAGATACATTATCAAATTTAATAATATCAATATTGGTAACAAAATTGTAAAATTTAACAAGTAAGGTTTCACTTACCAAATTTTTTGATTTGTTACTATTTATCAATATTGATGTTATTAGAAAACATAATATCTTATAGTATTATATAAATAAACGGTAAATAATTACTATATTTTGTTGGATTGCGCATTAAGAAAAAAAAAAGTAATGGTGAATTATTAGGCCTAGGGGAGTCACTTTATATATGTATATTTTTTTTTTATTTATTAAAAGTGGATAGAGGTCGTAATGTTTTCACCTTTACCTTCGTTCGTTTGGGTATGAAAAAAGAGATTTAATTTGTTTCCTCTATCTGCTAATTTGTTGGCTAAGTGAAGATATGGTGATATGTGTCCCATGGGTACATAGCTATGTACAACTGCGAGTGTGGTGTTTCCATGGATGTCTCAAGAGAAATTGTCGTGAACGTTTTCAACTCCTTATTTGAAGTCTTTTCGATCCAACTCATATATAGTTAAAAGAACTGTGTCAATAATGTGCTTTCGGAGAGCCATGAAAATGAAGAATAACAACCATTCTTTGCATAGAAATAAAGTTTAACGAAAACATTTCTTTAGGATATAAAAAAAAAAACACACTTTTTTCCTTTAATTTGTAATAGAATACGAGAGAAAGGATTTTTCTCTTTTTCTTGTTTTAATGTTTATAATATAGATAATTGTTTTAGAAAACAATTCTGTTTTATAAAAAAGATTAAACAATTACATTTTAATTAATATTAAAATAGTTTTTGTATGTACTTTATCTTTTTACTTATTTAGATAATAAGTAGAGATCTTTTTATTCATCTAAATAACATTTTTCTACTCTACCTTTTTTCTTATTTAACTCTTAACTTAAACTTGAGTATCAGAAGTAGTGAGGAACTTGCCAAATATTAAAGATCTATGATGTCGACAAAAAGGGTGATGGATCTATAATGAATTTCATTTTTGCTAGGTCTGATTGTCCCTTGATTTCATTTAACATTTATATGTTAGGATATATAAATAAGGTCATACATCAATAAAATAAAAAATAATAATAACTTATAAAGTAAACACATAATCTAATAATTGAGAGGTCTTCCAAATAATAATTAAAAATAAAATTGTAAAGACTTAAATCTAAAGTGAACAAATAAGATTACATATTATCATGAAATTGTGTATAAAATAACCTTGTAAAAATAACAAAGTCATAACTCTCCTATTCCCGTCAAATAAATATCATAAAATAATTCTAACATTGCACATTCATATCATATTAGTTTTGATGATTTTAACATTACATGGCCTTTGAATGTGACCAACCTGACTTTTTTTTTCTTTTTAAATGATATGTTTCCATCTTGTGCCGGCAGACAAAAAATATATGATGTAAATGAATCAAATAAACTTATATTATTTTTAAAATATTTTTTTATAAACAAAACAATATCATTATTTTATAAGTAAACATTTTATCTGACAATAATACGTTAGCATATTTTATATTTGTATATGCACTTATATATTCATTGTCATCTTGTGGAAAGTTTTACCTAATGTTTAGGCGTTGTTTCTAGGAAGTTTCCCATTTTGCATTTTCAACATTTAATAAATATCGATTCAACTTAAGGGTTACAATTATTGAAATCGATTTCAAAGACTAGCAGTATTCTATGGTGTATGCATATCTATAATATAGGTCGTCGAACAGGCATGGTTAGAAGTTACCATGAAGGTGAAGGACAATATATGCCGTTGACGCATTCTTCTTCAATTTCTTTCCAACATACTTGCTATTTTTTGTTTTTTTCTAATTAGTTTTTTCAAAAATAAAATATTAATTACAGTTGACAGGTACAAGAGAAACCGAGAAGAAAATGCGTTACAATAACAATTTATTAATCAATATTTATATTAATATATGGTTCCGCGCTATGACTCTTGTTCTCCTTAAAACACGTCTTCGAGTGATTTATATAAACTTTCTACGCATTTTGTCATTTATTATAAAAAGATTAGTCCTCCCACAACTACCTTGAGTCTATTATTCATTACATTACACTTTATCTTCAGCAAGTGAGTTTTCAATCTTCAAATTCTGCAATGGCTTGCATAACCAACAATAACGGTTCTTCATCACGCACAATGAATTTTGATGTTTTTGTGAGCTTTAGAGGTGAGGATACTCGTAATAATTTCACTGATCATCTTTTTGCTGCTCTTCGAAGGAAAGGTGTTGTTGCCTTCAGAGATAACCAAAATATCAATAAAGGGCAACTCTTGGAACCTGAGCTCATGCAAGCAATCAAACGATCACGTCTTTTCATTGTTGTCTTCTCAAAGAATTATGCATCATCCTCATGGTGCTTGAAAGAGTTGACAATGATTTTTGATTGGGTTAAAGAAACAGGTCAAAGTGTTCTTCCTATTTTCTATGATGTCACTCCTTCTGAAGTTCGAAAACAAAGTGGAGAGTTTCAAAAAGCTTTTGCCGAATACGAAGAAAGCTTTAGAGATGATTTGGAAATGGTAAAAAAATTGAGGGAAGCTATGAAGGCAATTGCCAACCGTTGTGGGTGGGATGTACTGAATAAGTAAGTGCCTGGCCATATTTTTTGTATTATATATAGAGGTTTTTTTTTAGAAGTCTCACCGTTAGTGATGCATCAATGTTTTTGCTCCACTTTGGTTTTCAGGCTACAACATGAAGAAATAGAAAAAGTTGTTGAAGAGGTAATCAACTTATTGGGTCATAATCAAATTTTGAATTTTGGAGATGATTTAGTTGACATGCACTCTCGTGTAAAACAATTAGAGGAACTTGTTGATCCAGATGCAAATGAAGTTGTTCGAGTAATAGGAATAAGTGGGATGGGTGGAATAGGAAAGACAACACTCGCTACTGCTTTATTTGATAAAATCTCTCATCAATATGATGCTTGTTGTTTCATTGATGATGTAAGCAAAATTTATGGGGAGTTTGGACCCGTCGTTGCACAAAAACAACTTCTTTGTCAAGCTCTAAATCAAGGTAATGTTGAGATAAACAATCTTTACCAAGGAACCTTGTTGATAAGAACTAGGTTGTGCCACTTAAAGGTGCTTATTGTTCTAGATAATGTTGATCAAGATGAACAATTGGAAAAATTGGCTTTGCATCCTAAATATCTAGGTGTAGGGAGTAGAATCCTCATAATCTCTAGAGATAGTCATATCTTAAGAAATTATGGAGTGAATGAAGTTTACAATGTTCAATTGTTGAATGCAAATAAAGCTCTTCAATTATTTTGTAGAAAAACTTTCAAATCTGATGATATTTTGAATGATTATGAAGAGTTGACCTATGATGTACTAAAATATGTTGATGGCCTTCCTTTAGCAATTAAAGTGTTAGGCTCATTTTTGTTTGGTCGAGATGTTTATGAGTGGAGAAGTGCATTGGCTAGACTAAAAGAATATCCAAACAAAGATATTATGGAGGTGTTGCGAATAAGTTTTGATGGATTGAAGGAAATGGAAAAAGAAATATTTTTAGATATTGCTTGTTTCTTTTGTGATAGACACCAACAACAGAGTAAGGGAACAATAAAAAGGTTTCTAGACTATCGTGGATTTTTTCCCGATATTGGCATGAAAGTTCTCATTGAAAAATCACTCATAACTTGTGATAAATGGGGGGTTAAAATGCACGACTTGTTAAAAGAGTTAGGCAGAAGTATTGTTCGAGAAAAATCACCCAATGAACCAAGAAAGTGGAGCGGGTTATGGGACATCAAAGATCTCCAAAATGTCATGATAAAAAATGAGGTAAAATAGATTTTCAATCTAAAATTTTATGCTACCATTTTTTCAAAATCTACAAATTATTAAGCAATCTAATATTATTATTCCTTTTTGCAATTCCTTAGGAAGCCAAAGATCTTGAAGCCATATTTATTAATAAAAAATATTATGAAGAGCATTTGGAAACAACAATGACAGTGAATGCTATATCAAAAATGAAGCATCTCAAGTTGCTCATACTTGGGAATGTGAATTTTTTGGGAAGTCTCAACTATCTTTCTAATGAATTAAGATATCTATCTTGGCATAGATATCCTTTCATTTGTTTGCCATCAAATTTTCATCCGGATAATCTAGTAGAGTTGATCTTGTGTCATAGCAATCTCAAACAATTATGGAAAGGCACAAAGGTACTATATTATTGGTTTTCAATTTTATATATCTTTAAAGAAACAGAAAAAAGATAATTTATATATATATATATAACATAATTAAAGAATCATAAAAAAACTTAAATGTCATTGATTTTTTCTCCTTGTATCCAACTCAAGACAGAGATTATCGTTTTTTCTTTCTGTTTGTCAAAGAAATGAAAAATTAAATGATGGATTGTAACTTTCTTTCTTTTGTTTCTTTTACAGCATCTGCCAAATTTGATATATCTAAATCTTAGCCACTCCAAAAATCTTATTGAGGTGCCAGATTTAACGGGAGTTCCTCGTCTTAGGCGTCTTATTCTTCAAGGATGTATAAATATTAGGCGGATCCAGCCATCCATTGGTATTCTGAGAAAACTTGTTTCTCTGAATTTGGAAAATTGTAAAAATCTTATTGAGATGCCAGACTTAACGGGAGTTCCTCGTCTTAGGCGTCTTACTCTTAAAGGATGTATAAATATTACGCGGATCCACCCATCCATTGGTATTCTGAGAGAACTTTTTTCTCTGAATTTGAAAAATTGTAAAAATCTTTTCCACAATTTGAATATCATTTTCGGACTCAAATCTCTTAAGGCGCTAAATCTCTCTGGCTGCTCAAAATTACTAAATAATCGTCTGCTAAAGAAATCAAGGGAGGCAGAACATTTGGAGAACGTTGATAAAAATACAAGTGTTATCCAATTATCAACATCCTCTGTATATGTAATTCTAATGTTGCCTTTGTATTTCCTTTCCTCTCACAAACATGGAGATTCACTTGATTTATTGTTGCCATATTTGTCTCGTTTCCCATGTTTGCGATATCTTGATCTAAGTTTCTGCAATCTACTTCAAATTCCCGATGGTATTGGGACCTTACAGTCTTTAGAAACCTTAAATTTGGGGGGAAACAAATTCGTGAGACTACCTACTACCATCAAGGAGCTTTCCAATCTTCAGCGTTTAAATTTGCAGCACTGCAAGCAGCTGAAATATTTGCCTGAGCTTCCAACAACCAAAAAAAACAAATCTAGCGCATATTATGGGGGTTTATATATTTTTAATTGCCCCAATTTGAGTGAAATGGAACATTGTTATCATATGGTTTTTTCTTGGATGATACAAATATTTAAGGTAACGACTCCATCCTTTCTTTCTTTATCTTATTTTTTCTATGTATCCAATTTTTAAGTAGTTATACATATTAATCATTTTTTATTTTTATTTTTATTTTTTTTGTATCAGGCTTTCTTGCAATCCTCCCGTTCCTTGCATAGTCTTCGGATTGTTATTCCTGGAACTCAAATTCCAAGGTGGTTCAGTAAACAAAATGTGGGTGGGTCAATAAGCGTGAACCTGTCTCCTGTTATTATGGAAGACCCAAATTGGATGGGTCTCGCTTGTTGTTCTTTGTTAGTGGCGCATCATGATCCTAATAATTTGAATGATAGATGGCAACATGATAATTTTGGAAGTATTGGATACAATTTTCAAAATATACAAGTTTTGCATAAATCAGATTGGGTACTTCCAATACTTTTAACCAATGATCTGGTCACAGGTGAAATAGATCACTTGTTCATAACGTTTCACTCTCAGGAAACAATCAATGCTTTTCGAAGTCCAGATGAAGACGAAATGCCTGATCTTGATAAAGTGGGATTCACAACAGTCATATTTCACCACCCTAAAGGTTACCATTTGGAGGTGAAAAATTGCGGATATCGTTTGGTATTTAAGAAGGATCTTCAACAATTAAACTTAAACAAGATGTTCAGCAAAAATTCCTCATCTAGGAAGCGCAAGCTTTTATCAAGTGATTCGCCACACATCATTCATTGAGCTTATCCACGGAAAGCGTAGAGATTTCTTTTCAACCACAATTACATCAAAGAAATTCTTTCCCATTAGTGGTAAGATTTAAGCAGTAAAGCACAAATTTTATTATAAGTTTATAGTCATTTATAAATACTTTGCTTTTTGTATCTTATATTGATGATATGATGATGTTTATTTATTTTCTTTTGAGAGTAAATGTTACTTGAGAACATTGTTAAAAGTGATAGTAAGCATATTTGGTCATGGATTGTTATGAAAACTTTCATCAATAGCCAATTGGCAAGATTTCAAGAAAAATAATGTGCATTATTAAATTTGATATAACTACCTTAGAGTAGAAATTTTTTAACAACAATCAATTTTTTTGACTTGAAGTAAATGTGGATGTCTATCTCGTTTCTTCAATTTACCAAAGTGAATTATTAAATATTCTATTTACGAGGTTTAGGAAAAAATGTTAGGTTGACGGAGGGCGTCTAACTCTTACTCTTAATTTTTGTCTCAAACCAAAAGAATATCATAGAAACCCAAAATTTCGTCTCCATCAACATGGAGTTAACACTTATCATGACATGGGAACATCTACTTAGACTTGAAAACATCCTCTGTTTCCACTAATTGGCAACAAGGTAACTAATCAGTAGGCAATGACAACTTAAGAAAGCTTGATGAAGAACATGAATAAGAGACCTAGAATAAATTGAACTATAGAACTTTCAAAAGTAGTGTTATGATGAAATAAATAAATAAATAAGACTTAAAGTTGTAGAGAAATTGAAGGACCAATGCTGAGTGTCTTAAAAACTTATATGGGAAGGCTTTCCTGTTTCCAGGGCCTGAACTACCAGTGCCACGAATCTCCACTTTGGAGAAAAATGAGCTGAATGATTGAAGGCTGGTTCAGTAAGTGACTGTGCATTTGGAACTGAATTAATGGACATTACAGCAAAAACAATTCCATGATTGTTGCTTGCTCTTTAACTGATTAACATGTTCCCTTTTTGGCAGAACTTATTTCACCTATTGGATTGTAGTCAGTTATAGTTGCTCTTCGGGATGGATTCAAAGGTAATGGTTCAAAAATGAGAAGTTGTACTGCTTCAAAAAAAGGTGCTTCATTAGTCACTGTTGACATGGATCTTTAACTAAAGGCACTTGTTAATAAGTGTTGATTTTTTTTTTACCCAATACTCTCTCTTGTCCTTTTAATATGAATCAAACTGGAAGTGAATTCCACTTTGTTGGAACATAAGGTAAAGAAAAATATATAATGTATTTTAAAGAGATTAGAATTATGTAAAAAAGGAAACATTACGTTGAATTATTGTATTTGGTAATTGTGAAATCCTTGAAATAAGAAATGTGTATAGATTAGAAAAGATGATGTTTGTAAAATAAAATAGTAAAAGATTTAAAGTGAAGTAGTAATGTGTGTTCACTCATTGTAGACTCCACTCTGAGGCATCACTCTCGCGTACACACAAGGCTAGCACTGTCAAACAATTAAAGGTACCATATCATGTTTTTTTTTTCAATTTCCTTTGTCTTTAGATGAACAAATTAAAAGATAAATTAACTTAATTGTACAACCACAAGAAAGCTTAAATGTTATTAATTTTGTCAAATACTAGAATAGGGTTTTTTTTTTTCTTTCTCTTTTTGTTAAAGGAAAATTACTAATTAAACGATAGTAATTTTCTTTTCCTTTTGTGTTTTACAATATTTGCCTCATTTGAGAAATCTGAATTTCAGAAACTCCAAAAAACTCTATATTGTTTTAATAAATGAATAATTGTCCCAAGTTATCCAATAGAGGACATGTTAAGCACAATTTAATACTTTTCTCAGCCATAATTTGAAGCAAAGCTTTGGCCTATGATGCACCGATACGATACGCGTATCGGATACGACACGTATCCGATACGACGATATGATAATTTTAAAATATATAGAATACGATACTTTTAAGATACGTGTCATCATATATATCAATGTTCATACAATATAATAATTGTGTACTTGTAATTTTGATTAAAATTCATAAATATTAAATATATAATTGCTATTTTGTAAATCCAAATTAAAAACATACTTATTGGACATTACTAAAAATAAATAAATTATAAATCATTTCATCATAAATTACTTTTTATTATTTACAAATAGAAACAATATTACCAATTTCATTCCTTTCTTAAAATTATCCACATAGAAGATAATTTTTATTTACAGTTCATCAAGGACAAATATTTTCATTTGAAACCATGCATTTTGTATTTTGGTATCTATCCGGAGGACTACTCCATTCATCATAACAAGTTAACTCGACAATGGATAGCAGAAGGGTTTGTCAAATCTGATGGGAGAAGAACTTTGGAACAAGTTGCAGATGAGTACTTAACTGAGTTAATTTATAGAAGTCTAGCTCAAGTCTCGACAGTTGGCTTTGCAGGGAACGTTAAATGTTGTCAAGTCCATGATTTATTACATGACATGATCGTAAGTAAAGCAAAGGACTTAAGTTTTTGCCATTTTGTAGAAGAAGGTGATGATGAATCAGCCACAGCCACAGCCACAACCAGAGTTGGAATATCAAGACGCCTATCCATAGACACTAGTTCCAACATAGTGTTGAAGAGAAATATCGACACACATCCGTGCTTTTCATGCTTTTGGAAAAGGAGGACTGCTTGAGCCTATTATGGCTCAATTATCTTCAAAGTCAAGGGTTTTGAAAGTACTTAACCTTGAAGGTCCATCGCTAAAACATGCTCCTAGTGATTTAGGAAATCTTTTTCACTTAAGGTACTTTGTTTGGGTTTCTCTGTTGGTTTTTTGGGGGTCGAATAGCTTAAACCTCATTTATTTAAGTAATTACTTTTGTTTTTCTTTAGGCATATTTTATTATTTATAATTAAAACAACACATTTTTGTAATAATACGAAAACATGATAAGTGAGAATCGATGTTTGTGAAGGTTCTACCTACCATGCATGCAAATTGCAAAGGGACGTGACACGATATTTAAAGCAAAGCTATTACCACCTTTGATGGTAAGATTCAAGTACTCCTACTTTATGACTTTAATTTTAATTTAAAAATAAAACAAAACATCATTGGCAAGTGTTGAAATTTTATGTGTGGCACTGATTTGATGACAATGTTCATGTGGGCCCATGTCAACACAAACATCTCTAGTATCGTTATAATAATTCAAAATTTTAAATATCGTTGAAAGAGTTGGAATATAGTTTTTATGAATGCAGGTACCAACTGTTGGGATTCATCCCAAGTCCCACATCGGTAAAATGAAGGAACATTAGTTAGTTTATAAGTGTCCACCATTCCACATAGTATGAGACCTTTTGGAAAGGAGTCCAAAAACAAAACCGTGCGGGCTTGGGCCCAAAGCGGACAATATCATACTATGGTGGAGGAACAGGTGGACTAGCGGGCCCAGCAAGTGGTTCGACTAGGGTTCGATGCGGGAAGACCCTCAGTGTTGTGCCTCGCGATGGAGAAGAGATCCGAACTTGGTGCCTTGTGTCGAAAGTCTTCCTGATATTGTGGTGTTCAGGCGGCGTGTCCCCGTACAGTTAACGGCGATACAAGATGGTGACGAGATCTGAACTTGGTGCCTTGTGTCGAAAGTCTTCCTGATATTGTGGTGTTCAGGCGGCGTGTCCCCGTACAGTTAACGGCGATACAAGATGGTGACGAGATCTGAACTTGGTGCCTTGTGTCGAAAGTCTTCCTGATATTGTGGTGTTCAGGCGGCGTGTCCCCGTACAGTTAACGGCGATACAAGATGGTGACGGATTATCGCTTGAGGGGAGGAGGAGGTTTGTTGGGATTCATCCCAAGTCCCACATCGGTAAAGCGGACAATATCATACTATGGTGGAGGAACAGGTGGACTAGCCGGCCCAGCACCAACAACGATAGCTCCCACACGCGTAGGGTGACAAATACAATTACCATCATTGTCGCATGATTCATGCAGCGAACAATAACCTGAACAAACAACTGCTTCTATCTTCTTCATGGAATCTTCTTCATGGAAAACATTACTGACAACATACATATATCAAAAGTTCCAACAAATGCACACGTTTGTATATATATACATATTCTAATATCTCATAGTCCTGAAATATATAATTGAAATCAAGAAGAAATAAAAAATAATGTAAGCTACATACAAGAAGTGGCAAGCAAGAAGACGACCAAAGGAGCAAGCTTAACATGGGCCATTCTTTAATTTTAGTATTTCCAAAGAACCAAACTATACAAATGTGTTGTGCAGTTCCTTCTTGCATGTACCAATTTATAAGCATTGGGAGTTTACGGATGTATTGAATTAAGATTTTATAAGACTTTTTTAGTATTGAGAATTTTAAAATTTTTTGTGAAACTTTAATTATTTTTAAGATTTTTTTAAAAAAATTTAATCAAGATTTTGTAATATGAATTTTAATGAATTTGTAGTTTAAGAATTTATAAGATTTGAAATGATTTTATTATATTTCAAAGGACAATATAAATTTTTTTAAAAATAATATAATTTCTCTACATATAGAAATTGTTGTAAAAAATATGGCGGGAGAATAAAATAAAAGATCCTGTAACATAAGATAGGATTAAAATATAACAAAAAAATGTTGATAGATAAAAAAGAAAGATAAGAAAAAAAATAGAGAACAAGAAGCAAATAAATAAATAAATGAGAGAGATGAAAGAAAAAAGAATGAGATAAAAAAAAAAGATATGAGAAAGGAGAGAGAAAAAAAAAAAGATAAGATAGAAAAGAGGCACAAAGAAATAGAGAAGATGTGAAAAAGAGAGAAAAAAAAAAGATGAGATAGACAAAAAAAAATAAACGAAAAAAATTCATGTAAAATATTAACGATATTTTTGAAATTGTTGAATGAATGAATTATATATTAATTACACTAAAAAAATTTCATGAAATTAATTCATTAAAATAATCTAATTAAATCTTTATATTTTTAAATATCTTGACAAAAAAATTTTAAATAAAAAATATTAATTAAATTATTAGATTTTAACATATTCATAAAAAAATATTTTAATTATTTTATTTAAATATCATTAGATTTTGATATATTTTTAAAAAATTATAATTAAATATCATATAAATTTTTATATTAATTTTTTTTAATTATATACTACGAGACTTTTTATAATAAAAAATGATTTAAAATTTTTAAAAATTTCAATCTAATTAAATGTTTTCAACATCTGGTCCATCATCGAGCATTATCTGCATGCCATGGAAATTTTTAACCTGCAATTATATATAATTTTATTACATGTTTTTGTTGGGGAAAAATCCCCTGGAACGCCACAAATCCTTTTATAACATTTATTGCTCAAGAAAACATGGCATTAAGGATTAATTAGAGTATACATTAAAATTTTACCTTTAATATAACGGTTAAATGGTTATAACTTAACATAAAATATGAATTAATTATTAATTAAAATAAATTTATCAAAAGTTATTTAATAAAATTACTTAAATTAAGTGGATTCTCTTCTCATTCTCTCTCTCTATAAATTAAAATTTGTGTTTATATCAAATTTCTTAAAATTCACTTTTAGATTGAATCTTTCTATTACCTTCAATATATGTCAACAAATTTGTTAAAATTTAACAACGATAAAAAAGTAATCTAACTATTCGTATTTTATTACATTTTTTAAAAACATATATATTATATTAATTTTAATCTATATGAATGAGATATTTAATAATTTTTTATTAATATTAAATTTTATATATTTAATTTAAGTGAAATAAAATTTTAATTTAATATTGAATTTTGAGAAAATAACATTAAATTAAAAATTATTGAATAGTATTATCAAAAATGATATTTGTTCTCTTATTCATCAATGTTTTAATTTGCAATTCTCATTTTGTTGTCATAATTTTAATCTTTATCGTGTTTAGGTGTATTCACTCTTCTTCTTAATTTCATGATTCATGAATAATTTAAATTGGAGTTTTCATTTTTATAATTCTCATAAGAAATTAAAAATAATTTTACTTTTTCTTAATTTATAAAATTAATTAGTCTATATATATATATATATATATATATTCCTTTCTCATTAATTTTCTAATTTGTTATTTTTAATATATTGTTGCAATCATCATTGGAAATGTCGGCAAAGTTGAAGTGGGGAAGGGATCAATGTTTTTTAAAATTTATGATGAATTTATAATATTTTTTATTATTTTAATATTTTATTACATATTAACTTATAATAAATTCAAACTAATTTTATATAATTAAGTACAATAATGTGTTAAGTCTCAAATTTACCTCCTTTTTGATGAGACTT